TCATCATCATCATCATCATTAGTTTAAATTAATATAACCATAATCATAATTATGATGTTAATGAAAATCAGCCTTAATCACCAGTCCATGCGGAGAAGAGAATAACTATGCCAAGGTATACGAAGTCCAGAGAGTACTGCAGATTTAAATATAATCATGATATAAGCATTGAGATAATGAGAAAAGGAGTTGTTTTGAATGAAAGGCGTACTAGGGCGACGCGATGGGAAACGGAAGTGGGGAAGAGATAGGCGATGCCGATGATGTTGATGAGTTTGCCGAAGAAGATGAAGAAGACGGGCACGGAGGCGCCATGAACGCAGGCTCCTAAGCTTCCGAGAGTCATGAGAAGGCAATCCAAAGGGTCGGCGAAGCTGAAGAGCTTACTGAAAGGAACTCTCTTCTTCTTCTTCTTCTTCTTCTTGTTATTGTTGTTATCTTCTTCATCTTTGTTGAGATTAATGCTCTGTTTTTCTTCTTCTTCTTCTTCTGATCTGCCGGGAGTGGATTTCTTGCGAAAGCTCATTTTTTTTTTTTATTTTGGATTTTTTTTTTGTGTGTGTGGGGAGAGAGATGAGTTATAAGGATGGAGAGAGGGGAGGACTTAACTTCATACAACTAAACCACCGGCTGCAGTGGATGGGTCATGAGGAATATTTAATGGCAATTAATAAAATGCTTATTCGAGTCTGCAATGTCGCAGCTCTATTTCTCGTTTAGGATGCAATGCTAAATATTGTTTTATTTTTTATTTTACTAAATATACCTATATAACTATATGTATGTGAGGAATGAAAATTAAATAAGTTTTAAATTTTGATTAAAGTTTTGGAAGATTTAAAATACATGGCGCTTAATTCCTATGTTTTTGACTGATTTAATAATTAAATTTTTATTTTTATAAAACTTGTAGCAGTGAAATTTTTGTGGTTATATGGAGAAGTTTAGATGATATAAATGAGTACATTAAAAGGGTGTCAGTTCTAATCTTACATGAATCTAGTGGCCCAGAAGAAGGAAGTATGATGAAAGGAGACTACTTGCAAGGAAGTCGTAAGG